ACACCGTCGCCAATAAAGAAAGAGTTTTGCTTTCAATACCTTTATTTATTAAAGGAAAGATGATCTTTCATTATAGACAAGCGGATAAGTCGCTCGGTGATTCTTTGAGAAGCACGGTGCAGACAGAGGTGTCTATCCTGCATCGCGCGACGACCTGCCGATCGAAATCGGCCGAAGAAGGCCGTCGATATTCGCGCATGCTTTGTATTATTCCCATAGTTTGTTCCATTATCCGTTTGACCTCCGTCGATCGTCGGACAATCAATCAGGCCTGTCCAGGCCCCGTAACGCGAGTACGCGAAGTGATCTTTCCTTCCCGTATTTTCGACCCCGGCAGGCTTGAGTCGCGGACACAGCGCGCCATTCGACGATGATGCTCGCTCGCACGAGGAGGCACGTTTGTCGTAACGAGAAATTGCGCGCGAGCGCGAGGCGAGCGAATTAATTCGGGCGAAACGAGTGCTGCTCGCCGCCGATGCGCGAGCCATCGATTCACGACGCATCGTGAGTAAACACGTCCGTCTTCTCGGCCTTCCTCTGCCTCAGCCTTGCTCCTCCCGCACGGGCATCCACTTTCTGTGTAACATTACGCAGAGACCTGTTGCTGCGCGCGTCGTGCCGCGCATGCACCGCGCCGATCTATTTTAGTGTTCTCGCGGTTCGCCTCTCCGCGAACCGCGTTCACGAGAATCTCGTGAAACGTCGGCGACGGCGAACGGCGACGTTTGTAAACGCAACCGGTTTCGCCGGTACGGAAAGTCAGTCCCGGGTCCCGATTGCTTTTAAAACTTGGGCGCGAACGACAAATTGTCCTTTTATTCGCTTATCTCGGCTAAATCGACAATCTGAGAGACAATCCCTTACGTCGCTACGACGAGTTGCCGCGACGAGTTTCTTTTACGACGAGAGGATTTGGGAGATCTTAACACTTAAGACGGCGGGATTGTGCTTGCGCAGCATCCGGCTGCGGCCGCGCGCAGGTCCGAGGTGTATCCCGACCTAACGTTACATCCCCGCGGCATAATTTCCTTCGCTTTTTGTCTCCTGGCGAGCTGACAAACGGAAATTATCTGGGTGATGCAATTATCATCTTCGACCCGTGGAAACCGATGGAATACATAATGCGCAGAACGTACATCACCATCTCTTCCAATCTGTTGTCGCCCAATTCATTCACGCGACGCAGATTCTTTCACTTCTCGATGTAACAGGAGATGTAAAAGTGCGACGATTTAACAACAGCCAGTAATCGGTATCGAGACCAGAGAAAACTGCAAGCTGATCCGATGTGCCGAGATACAACACAAATCTACCTACGATTCATCAAGGCGACGAAAGGATATCTCTGTCTTTTTTTTATCTTTTCCGTGGAGAAATCCTTCGGTTCCAGGAGAAAACGGTTCGTCTCCGTGTGCCGTTCGAAATTCGCGGTTGGTTTCTTTGCCACACGCGTATGTGTTGTTAGGGGCCAAACAGTGAAAATCTGGGCAACATGTGTTTACGGATGTGTTAGCGGACCCGACCGTATGCCTGACCGTTTTCCTTTCCGACATCCTACGAAAATGAACAGCGTTTTATCAAGTTTCCCAGCGATATTCCGACCGGCCGGCCGGCTCTGCGGTTCATCTTCAGAGCCCTTGCCACAATAAACACCGTGTCGTCTTCTTTCAAAACTCGCAAACTGTGCTGCACGGCCTGTGAATCACGGTAACGGTTCTCACGTAAACGGATCTTTCTTGTGTTTTCCTCGATCACGCGCGCGCGCGCGCGCGCGCGCACGCGCCAGAAATAAAAATTCCCGCGGCAATTTCGGTGTCAGCGGATCTTCGGGCGATTATTCGCGAGCTAACGATTGCTGGCGATATCGCACGATGCAGCGAAATTATCCCATCTTTCTTCCTCCCCTCTCAGAGGTTCAATCCGTACATACTGCATACTTATACTCTGTATACTGTGTTTTACATTTGTTTTGTTGTTTTAGACCAATTTAGACCTAGCGAGCTCATTTTCAGCCTCGATCAGAGACTCGCGATCGCGGTGAGATTTAAGCTGACACGCGTTACCGATTCCAATAAATTTTATTACGTTACGAGTATTTTGGACTCGTCGACGACATCGCATTCTCACCTCGACTATTTCAATGTCTCTTGCTTTCTGGACTTGCGTTACTGGACTGGAACAAAAGCGTTCGTACGTCAGTAACGTGAAACGTGTATTATCATTACGTGTCTATATTATTTACAGCTTTTACGCTGTTATTATTACGCTAGAAATCAATGCAAATACAAATATTCATCAAATATAGATGTGCCGTGTTTAATCGGTACATTGGTAAATAACGTTTCAACGTAACAACGTAACAATATCCATAAATGAAGCGTTTCATATTTTCAGCTCACGATACGAGTTGTACAATGTGCTATTATCGTCTGCAATCAGCGTCTGTCCGTGTTGTTATCGAAATCTCGGAAAGTCGAAAAATGGAAATATTGTGGAGAAAAAGTATTGTTTCTTTAGAGCCTTGTTGTCTTGTTATTTAACGTACACGCATGCAATGTAACAAACGCGCGCGCGCGAATGATGTATCTCGTAACGAAATGTGAAATTAAAGTAAAGGGATATGGATGACAATAATGCAAGGATGTCGATAACGTAGAGGCGATCATCAGAAAGGTCGGTACATTATATGGTTATCGAAGCTCGCTAAAGTCCGCTTTTTCGAGTCAAGACTCGAATCACAATGCATCAATCTTCGAGAAATTTAGCCAACATTAAACTAGACATTTTTTGTGAATTTTTATAATTGCATTCGATCGAGTATTCGTTCAATTACGCAAGTTGGTGTCACCCTCGAATTTTTCCCTCTGTCAAAAGTGCCCGAAAAAATAATTAATAAAAAAATTTATTTTATCACTGATGAATTTCAATATCTCTAAACTACATCGCATCCTCTCTTCGCGTAAAAGACGCGTTCGGTTCCGCTAATGTGGAGTACGAGTGGAGTGAAGTGAAGTGAGTTTGTTCTTGAACTTGAGTCCATTTGAGTTCGATAGCGGCTTGTTTCCATCGAATCGAATGCAAATATTAACATTTATATGAAGTTAGCAGGTGTTGTGGTTTTTTCTCGAAACGGCACGAGGCACAGAATTTGAGTGATAATATGAGACAACATGAATGTTAAATAATGCAATAGATGCGGTTTGATTTTGCCGATTTGATTCTTCTAGATCTGGAGAGATCCTTCCTTTCTTCCTTCCTTCCTTCCTTCCTTTCTTCCTTCCTTTCTTTCTTCCTTGCTTCCTTCCTTCCTTTCTTCCTTGCTTCCTTCCTTCCTTTCTTCCTTGCTTCCTTGCTTCGGTTTCTCGGCGCATCCCGCGCAATGTTATTAAGCTTTCGGCTCTGGTGAAGAGAGCACTTTCGTCTTAGCCAACTGCAATTTAATTTTAATTATGGTCGGAGGAACTGAGTTCCCCGCCACACTATCCTGCGCTGCTCTTAGGATAGCTTAGGATAGTAGAACACCGTGAAATTTTTATCTCACCAAAGCACGTGGTAAATCTCGCGCGCGGTGACTACGCCTTCTTGCGAAATGAATTGATGGAAAAATATCCAACGACGACAAATACCGGTGTAAATATAAAATATATAATGCGAAATTAACTCGGGAGATGTAATGGCGCATGGGATTAGCACGGAATATCCTGAATACATTTCAAATGTCTCGAGCTTCGTTCGACATTTACATTATATTCACGCGTGGATAAGACATTTCGATGGTACTTTGGTACCAACGGTCTTTGACTGACGAATAAGATGGTAGATGATTTCTGCCAGCAGTCTGCTGCGCGAATTTTCCTCCGGGAGTGATTTCGCGCGAGACCTTTGCGCATATTACTCGACAAGAGAGTCGCGTAAGAGAAGGGGAATGGGACAAAACGTTACTGTTAACTACAGACGGGATATTTTCGACAGCCGTCTCCTCTCTCTCTCTCTCTCTCTCTCTCTCTCTCTCTCTCTCTCTCTCTCTCTCTCTCTCTCTCCCCCTCTCTCCCTCCCTCTCTCTCTCTCTCTCTCTCTCCCTCCCCCCCTCTCTCTCTCTCTCTCTCTCTCTCTCTAGGCAGCGTTGTGAATTTTACGTTTCACAACAACAGCGTGAGAAATTGCCAGGATGAAATAGACGGAGGAGAAACCTTGTTAACTCGTAACCTTTTTGGCTCCGGTGTCAAAGTCCGAAAATTTACGCGGCTGAAATTTTCTCTCCCCGGTACAAAGTTGAAATCGCCAGCTGGAAATTACTTGGTCGACAGTAAGCAGTAGTAGTAGTAGTAGTAGTAGCAGCAGCAGCAGCAGTAGTAGTAGTAGTAATAGCAGCAGCAGCAGCAGCAGCAGCAACATACGGTCGGCCAACTATTCCAACGACTTAACCGACTATAAGAGGTCAACGCTCGCGATAACACCTCGTCGGCAACATTTCGACGTTGCATACGCAGATAACTGTCGCGAAATGTTTAAGTCGGATCGAACTCGAGCGAAAACAATGGTTATTGGAATTATCATAACCAACCTCCTCGACATAGAGAACTAGCTAACTAGGATACGAATGGTAGCTGGAAGCTCGAGCTATTACGATTCTACACTGATAGAATTTCTCCCTTTCTCTCTCCCTCTCTCAGAGCCCAGTTGACTAAGCTATGGAAATATCAGAGTCGTACACAAATGAACAGAGTTACAGAGGATAACTCGAACGATCGAGAGAAGATTCACAATTTTTTGTTTTGTTTTCAAAGTCATTCATCTCTCGCCTCTTTGAACTGCTCGCGAAGCCGGTCCTCGTTCTTTTGTACCACGCGAGCAAATCTCTTGGATTTGCTCGCGTGGAAGTCTCGATCGAACGCGGAGGAGGGGGAGACATTTTATAATGCAAATGTCCACCAACCACATTCTGCGTACGTGCAGCAAAGTATCAATCGTACGATATCTTGGCGATATCTTGCTTACAGATATGAGCATCTTTCTCTTTAATGGTTTTCTACTGTTGGGCCTCGTCGTGGCGACGGTGCCGGATGTCTTCTTGGTGCTGGGCTCGCCTGGTCCCACGCAAATCGTCGACCGGGATGCAAACATAAAGAAATGCCGCTACAACAGAGCCTATTCCTTACTGGAGGCGCGATGCACGACTTTGGAGTTGCAGGAAATCCCAGCGAATTTAAAGACGGACATTCAGGTGAGATTTCGATAAACGTAACGTAACGCAGAGAGAGAGAGAGAGAGAGAGAGAGGGAACGGTAGTTTTTATTAAAATTCAGCTTGAAAAAATATACATATCGAGACATCTTTTCGCGCGCGCGCGCGGTCTACAAAGTATTGTATCTATCTCACAATCAGTACGACGACGTACAACATTCTTTTCATCCGTCTATGTTCTCCTTCTTCTTCTTTTTGCTTTTTCTCCCAAACTACACCCGCTCGATGTGACTACATCTCCATAGCAGATCCGGCACGTCTGCAGCTACTATATACATCGGTAAACTTGCTTCGATGAATCCCAGGCAAAATTCCAGGCATGCTAAATCCGGAGATTGGGTTGTCCAGAGCCAGGAGAGGATGGATACGTTCGATGATATACTCGAGAAATTTTAGCCGCGCATAGATATCGCCGCAACACACATTGTTGCTTGTACACGGGCTGTCTCAATTTGAACGCGATAAATTTTTTATCGCAAATCCTTCGGTCACATACATACGGTATGCAATCGATTTTGCCTCAAAGTGACGCTTTGTTCTCGCTCCCCGCAATCACAAATATTCACAAGAGGCAATTTAGCCATCGAATAATAGTCGTTTAATCCGTCTACTTTTACATGTTTTACATTTTTATTTCCTTGACAAAACCGTTTGCCGTTTGTGTTATTATGTATAATTGTATAATTGTACGGTAAATTTGCACAAAATCATACTCGCGAGGATTATATGTACATAAATCTATAGAGTATAGGCAACCTAAATGTGCTAAACGCAAATATATGAATTAACGCGGGCAGAGAGCTACTTACATATTCATCGATCGAGCTCTCACTCGTGATGCGGTGAAAGCGCCGCGCCGGTAGGAATACCTCTGAGTACCGGAGATACTCAGTGTGTGATGATTTCGCAGCTCGATAAATAGAGGTCTCGCCGATAGAAAACGGATTTCCAATCTTCAATTTGTAAAATATTCAGGAACTAAACCAAAGTTGACGAATTTACGAGCGATTAATATTTAAAAAGGATTATCGGCAAATTAAATGAAAATCGCAAGTGTGTGTGTGTGCGTCGCACACACCGCACAGACTAAATTCGGACGACACGTCCAAATTTGATCCAAATAAAAATTTGATCAAATTAATGCAAATAAGGTGCAAACGTCACTCACGTAAAATGTCGATGCAATATTTGGCCGCAATTGTATATCATCGAGCGGGGGTACGTGGAGAAGAAAGTCGTTTTTTGTCGTCGAGACATGTATCATCTCTCTCTCTCTCTTATTGGGTCGCGTTGCGTCACTAATTCTCTTATCCTGACAATTAATTTGACAGGCGCGCATCTTTACGGAAATAAAAATCTTTCGAGAAACAGCCGTACAGCTTCTGTACGTGGTGGGATTAGCTAATTTTCATACGATTGCTCTTTCTCTCTCTCTCTCTCTCTCTCTCTTATTCACACACAGGTGCTGGATGCCACGGTGAACCGGCTGAGGGAGCTGACCAACGACAGTCTGTCGCCTTACAAGAGTCTGGCCTACATTTATCTGGCTGACAACTTCATTCAGAATATCGAGGAGGCCACGTTCGCGAATCAACATTACCTGCAGGTGCTGGACCTCACGAAGAACGGTTGCGACGGTCTGCCCAAGAGCCTGTTTCAGCTGCCGTACCTCAGGACGCTCTATCTCGAGAACAACAAGCTCACCGACTCGGTGTTCAAGGTTCCGGTGAGCTCGCCCCTCAGTGTACTGCAACTGGCCAAGAACAAGCTGACCAAGATCCCCGATATCGACGTGCAGCCGACTCTCACGCATCTCAACGTGTCTGACAACGCGATCGCATCGATCAGCAGCGAGGACCTGGCGCCGTTCTGCTCGCTCAAACTGCTCGATCTGTCGAGGAATCCGATCCGATTCAGCGGCGAGGACTGCAAGTGCCAGGAGCTCAACGCTTGGCTGAAGCTACGGCAAATCGAGGCGACGCCGGACTCGTTAGATTGCAACGACTGGGCGTCCGAGTCAATAGCGGCAACAACCACTACCGCGGGCCAATGCGCCAACGTGCGATTCAGCAATCGGACGCGTCAGCTGTACGACAAGTGCTCGGCGGTCATACAGCGCAAGGTGGAAACCGAGAAGGCCCGCTCGGTCTGGATAATGGTGGTCTCGTGCGTCTCCGTATTTATTGTTTTCGTCTTTGCCATACTATTCTGCGTCCACAGGAGGAATCGTAGACGACGCAGGAAGCAAAAGGAGCAGCAGCAGCAACAGCTCACGGCGAACAACGCCAATACCGAGCTGCTCAACAGCAATCTCACGTCGGGCAATTCGTGAAGCGATCGGACCACAGAGAGGGCTGCCCGCAACTGTAAAGAGGAGAAGAAGAAGAAGGAGGAAGAGGAGGAGGAGGAGGAGGAGGAGGAGGAGGAGGAGGAGGAGGAGGAGGAGGAGGAGGAGGAGGAGGAGGAGGAGGAGGAGGAGGAGGAGGAGGAGGAGGAGGAGGAGAAGGAGGAGGAGGAGGAGCAGCAGCCGCAGCAGCAGCAGCAGCAGCAGCCGCAGCAGCAGCAGCAGCAGCAGCAGCAGCAGCAGCAGCAGCAGCAGCAGCAACAGATGAAGATCGTTGCAAGGAATCTCGACGCTAGCAATTTCACGCGATATGTATCGCGCCGAGAGAGGAGGCTGCACCGAGACTGGCAGCTGTTCGCCATTGACATTGACTTGAATGCAAATTCACGCGATCCTCCGACACACACACACGACACACACACACACACACACACACACAGAGAGAGAGAGAGAGAGAGAGAGAGACCTGTTGCTGTTTATTAAGAGTTTAATCGCGGACCGATGCCTAACGACGGATACGTGCCTAATCGTTTCTATCCGATCGTCGCGGTGCATCGCAACGGCACGGCTGCCGGTGTTGCAATTTTTTCAGACTTGTAAACTCTTGCGTATGTAAGCGTATGTAGAGTGATCAGAGGCGCGTTGCACGCTGTTGAGACGCTATTATCGCGCCGAGACGCTGCTCTCGAAGGATATCGTCGATAGTAATCAATCGGACGAATCAACTCCGTCAAGACTACACTTATAACGGATATAAACGCGTTCGAATGTAAATGTTCTGTATTGTGTTCACATGTAACGGTTTACGATATGCGTACACTTGTAAGATGTATGTGAATGTGACGGATTTTTGAGAATTCTGAGTGTTTCAACAATTGCTGTAACTCTCGCTGTACTCTCTTTCTCTCTCTCTCTGCGTGCATCGATCAAACGAGACGCCAGTTTTCGCGTCGAGAGAAAACGGCCGGAAAATTGATCTCGATGCCCGGTGCAACGGTGTGAACTTTCGTCCTTTTGATAATTATCGATGCGAGTCGGTGGCGAGCATTCTACCACACATCATGGTAACGGTTCACGATACTTGAGAAAAATTCTCATTCAAGATATCCGCCGCGCTGAGCGAATAATCCCTAGCCATCGGTGTGTGATTTTACACTTTTCGTCGATTCTTCTTCTTTTTCTTTCTCGTGTTTATTTTGCGCAACGTACATACAATACCGTAACGTACTTTTATCCATTTCTTACGACGTTATTGAGAGCAACAATCAATTGTAATTTTACATACAAGGACACGCGGAACATTCTGCGGTAAAGAGATCCAAGCATTTATTTCATCAGATTTTTGCAATTGATATTTCGTTTCTGTTTCGTTTGCAGAACATTTCCGTTCGATTGATACACACATGTATATTATTGTAAATTATATACATATATATATATCACACACACACACACACACACACACACACACACACACACACACACACACGTCACTCGTTCAAGTTACATAGAGCCGATAGCGCGGAAAGGCTCGCGTCATCTCTTCCTTTTACTAAATAACGAAAGAACAAAAGGAAGAAACAAAGCGGACAAATCATCTTCAACAAAGTCGCAAAGTCATATTCTTAGTTCCTAACGTGTATATATTTATTTCACATACATATACCGGTGCAGAGGAGATTGATTTTTGTCGTGGAGCAAACCGTTACCATCAAAATAACGATACAACTCGCACGTATGAGTCGTGTATATTGCGATTTTGAACAATTTTTGTATTAATTTTCACGTTATTTTTTAATACGTAAAAGAAAAACTTTACAAATTGTATGTATAGAACTATCAATAAAACTGGGATCTAAAACAAATCATCCTGAGCGACGACGTTTCATGATTTTTACGATTTCTACAATAGTTGGGTACATGTGATATAGGGAAAAACTTTTTATACACCTTTTGTATATTTGAATAAGTTAAGTAATACGTATCGAAATACGAGTGCGCATTATTGCTCATGTAAATTTGTTTCACAAAAATCACAAAGTTTCTCAGAAATCACGTATCACCGCGAAATATTTTGCATTCAACTGTATAAATATTTCGAAGATGTTGTGTAATATATAATTTTCTCTGATAGGTCTGCGCAAAAAATGACAAAACAAGACTCGGTCGAAGCCGTTTATTAAATGAAATACATCTTTTTGGACCGACAAAGTATAAAAAGGATCGATGTGCACGATGAAGAAAATATTGATCGATTCGTAACGAAGATGCATGCAAAATCACAAGATTCATCAATTGGATAAAACGGCAGCTCTTACGTAAAATAAGGAGCTTATATTTATTTCTTATTTTTTTTCTATTATATACATATCTAGAACCGGCAATGCACCTTTGTAAACATAGAATGTAAACAGTATTTTCTCTTGCATCCCTTGTATATTTCGACGCACACACACGCACACACACACTCTCTCTCTCTCTCTCTCAAACTTATATCATGTTTAAAAATAGTTATCTGTATTATCGTGAAAAATAATAATTACAAGTACATTTTTGTACGGTTAATTTGTGGTTTTTATTAGTATAAATGATATAAAGCAGAGTACAATTAAGAAAATTATTTCGAATGCGCAAGGTGAGCGCGATTGTGTAGGAACAAATACGTTTACCAAAATTTCTCTTTGAAATCTACAGGTTTTGTTTGGTAGAGAACTCAAATCTCGTCAGAGACACACATACACATACATACATACATACACACACACACGCGCACGCACACACACACGCACGCACGCACACACACAGACAGACAGACAGACAGACAGACAGACAGACACAGACAGTCAGGTCGATGCACAATTTCGCAGCTTTTGAAGAACACGATCGAAGAACGCGCTTCCTCATCGATGTTCGCTTACTCGTTGTTAAACGTTGCTTAATCCAAATGTAAAAATTGAACAAACATTTATTCGAATAGCCAATCGAGCATTTTCTCTGGACCGTATCGCGAAACTGCCCATTCGACTGACGTTGTTGTTGTTGATGACCCACGCGTCTATCGTATTTAGTTCTCCCACAGTCTCACACCGTTGTACTTAAAAAAGGAAAAAAAGAAAAAGATAAAAAGAGGAGGGAGAGAGGGAAGGAAAGAAAAAAAAAAGAAAGGAAAAAGAGCAGAAGATAAATACTGATAACTTAATCACATTTGACTGTTTCCTGTTGGACAAAATAAACGAATATAATAAACGTAACTAGTTATCATAAATTAAGAAATCGTAAATTATTACAACGCACGTTAAACACGTTACTAGTCCAGTATTACAATTTGGAGGGGGGCAGGAGACGGATGCGCGAAATGTCTCGCATGGACTCGGCACGCAGCGCGATGCATTTCGGAAAAAAAGGGGACACAATGCTCACAGAGCGCATTCGTCCGTAGCCGGTGATCGTTGTACGCCTGTGGGTTTAACGGAATACAATAGTACAGTTTTTGCGTAAGAAATAATTTCGTAAATGCAACGTATTTATTCACGGAACCCCATTTGTTAAGTTTGATTTGAACTCTCGTCAGCTCAAATATATTATACAATATCTTCTCATACGTTGTACATACTTATATATATCTATATACTCCATTGTAATAAATGTAAGAGAGGAAGCCGTACAATGTCTCAACTTCATTTCATATCTTTTTTTCATCGCTTCTCTTCGTTCTCAACTCGCAAACTGAGATATCCGATTTTCATATCTCTTATGTGTCTCTGATGTTATACTCTAAATTAATTTCTCTGTGTGTTAATGGCGTAATCTCTTTTCGTTTCATCAGTTATTTTAAAATGGCGCTGACGCGGAATGAAGCTCCATTATTGTATAGATAACTTTTAGAATTCTTTTTTTTCCTTTTCTTTGATATTACACTTAAGCTTACGATAAATTTGTGTTTACATAAGGCGGCAACGTTCTTCACTTTGAGGGTCGCCCTGAAACATAAAACGTATGATATTTCATCAGCAAAACGAGAAACATGTCGAATGAAAGAGTAATTACCCCAGCAGACCCCGAGACTTGTTTATCCAATTGCATGAGTACTAGCGTGTTTGTTTAGTCACGGATAGAGGGATGATCAATGTCGAAGGGAGAGGGGAGATAAATAGAATCGACGACGCTCAAATGATCAATTATAACAATTTCTTTTTCTTTTTTTTTTTTTTTGGAATCTTTAATAAAGTCGGTCCGATCCGTCGTAGAGTCGTGTCACTTGACGAGATAACAACCGGTTTTACCCGGTATGCCAAAATATTTGCTCCTTAAAAATGGAAATAATTTCCCCGACTGCAGTTGAGTTATGAGACACAGAAAATAAATTATTGCATTTTGTTTGCTTGTTATTATTCGAAAATTGAAGATATATCCGACCCCGACCGTTGTCAAGTCGTACTCGTACGATTCCCGATTCTTCGTTAAAAGACAGTGGCGGCTCGTAGCCAGAGACTTTGGAACTGATAAATATAACGGGTCTAATGATCACCACCAGTGGCTTAACAATCAAAGCGGGTCTAAGCGGGGATCTGTATCATTGGACATGTTATTTTTATTACAAATTCAAAGTATCCGCTACGAGTCTCCCTAAGAATCGAAATCGCAGCACGACTCAATAATTCGGGAACCTAATAATCTTTCAAACGTGCATCCCCCCCCCCCCAACGGCAGCTCGCAAAATCTATTTATTTTTTTCTTTTTTTCCTCCAGCAGTACTGTCTATTCAATGGCACGTCGGAGAATTATTTTACTCTCAAGTAACAGAATTGACAATGACAGAGATTCAATAAATCTCACTTTTCGGCAGCACGTCAATCAGAGTGGGTCGGGTAGATCAACTTTGTGTACTTATCATTTACCAACGAAAAAACAAGTTCCGCTGTGATCTGTGAGTTGTGTTGAGTGTCATGTTCACCGGGGAGAACAAAAATCTGAGCAAAATAGGCTAGAAGACAATTCAAATAAAATGTATACATACACAAAATATGCCGTATAAAATTATGCTTGATAAACTTTAGAAATTTTGCAACACTATCGAGAAAATTATCAACACAGAAGTTGATCAAGTTTCACGGTTTCGAGAAGATGATTGGCCTTTTCGCGGGAAAAGAATCCAAATATCGATTGCTGCTACTGTGTTCAATCGGCTGTTCCTAATTACAGATGTACAGGAATTGTGATGATATTTTATATTGTTAAATTCACACAGTGTGAAATATATGTATATGAAAATGTGGGAAACATCCCTTTCGCAATGCAACGTTAGATCAACCATTCTTTCCCACTGCTACTTTTCTCGGAATTTTTTCCACACTGGATCTGTTACTGGAATGTTACATCTCTATTACTGTATTAATATGTAGCACAATGTACGTATGTACACGCGAAATTTAGTTTATTTTATTTATAAATGGTTACTACATTGCTCGCATTTTAAATTAAAACAAGCGCATACGCAGTTTCTTCAATTATCCAATAGCTTGTACAACAAGAAAAAAAATATTTAAATGTCACACAAAAATCCGATAGAGAAGAATGTACTTTTGAATCATGATTTGAAAGACTTGCGCGGTCCCTATGCACCTCACACATTTGTATGTCTGCATATCCTACGTTAAAATAAAGCACAAGAGTAGCGTATAATACTCAAATTGGTTTTCATTCACAATATATATGTGTATGTGTGTGTGTGTGTGTGTGTGTGTACACACACACACACACACACACATTGAACAGTCAAATTTTATTTTGGAAAGGAAAATATAAAAATATTATCTATGCGTACATAATTCTTGATAAATGAATAAAGACAATGTGGTTAAATGATGAGATGATATATATAATGTAGTTTCAACAAAGATTATATTATAATTTATATAAAAGGCATGAACATTTTAGTCAAGCGTGAGCATCAAGGCAAAGTGCTGCATGAGAACCAATAAAATATAAAGCGAAATAATTCCTGTATTATGAGTGCGAATAGTATTATTGACAACGTAACGCTGAACATTTGTACATCTGATAGGTTATAAAACAACTTACATAAAGTGCCCATCAGAGTCGTGTGCCCTCACCCTTAATACGGGTAGAGATATCTTCTCTATGGAACAAGAAGTGGATTGTCGTGAAAAATACTACCCCCCAAAAATTAGTCTGTTGTCTATATAACTGCAACACTTCTTTCGTGCATAATGAATCTCTCCGAAAAACGAGTGTTGCTGAATAATTGGGGGGGGGGGGGGGAGAAAAAAAGAGAGAAAAGAAAAAAAGGAGAAAAAAGAAACGGTTGAATGTTATGCATTACCGTCTGTACTGTGTTAATTCAATTAAAAAGCCTGTAATACCTCGCAAAAAGCTTTAAATATAAATATTACTCATAGAGCCACATTGTCTTCTTGAGATCGAATTCTTAGGAAATGGGATCGAGATATAACCGTAACTTTTGAAATTTAACCCTTTCTTCGTTGTATACTACTCATCATTGTGCACTTCATTTAGTGTACGTACGATATACGTAATATTTCAATGTGACAATAGCAAATAAGTTACTAAATATTCGATCGACACAAACTTTGCTTTTTTTTTCTTTTCTTTAAATCGCGAAGCATTCTTGCGCCGATGGTATATCAAAATAGATGTGCTGCAGTTAAAATATAACGCCGACATTATACGTTATCACGCTTCTACTTTCCTGACTACAACATCTACTTGCCTTTATCTCGTAAAGCTCTCACTGCACTACGTACATCGCTCAGCGTAATATGTATAAGCGCGTTAAAAAATGTTCATTGTATTCTTACCTGCTGGTGATGAAGTTCCTCCGTTGGTCGGAATCCCAGGCTTTCCTTGTACCGAGACAAACTTGTGGATAATTGCTGTCTCTTGCGTTCAGAAGTTGCCATTTCCTACAGCGTTCATCAATTACTCTTAATATACGTAATGAACTCGCAGGAGCGCGCAGTTTATAATAAATATACAAGCAATATTTCGTTCAAGAGTTTAGTGTGCTTTGTGTGTGTGTGTGTGTGTGTGTAAAAACATACCTCTCCTTCGTTATTCAGCAGAATTGTAGTCATATTGTCCGCTACAAACCACTTCTGTCCCTTCATGACAACGTTCGACGGTGGCTCGTGTGACGCACCAATGTCGGCCGACCATACCGTCACAGTGGCATTTGCGTCGAGCTTCGCAGTACGATGAAACTTGAAAACTGTCTCCAGAGCACCAGCCTTACGAATAATTTGCCATCCGCTCAAGCCTATTTCCTGTTGCAAAAAACAATTCCTCATCAAAGTCGGTGCGTTGAGATGAAGCGTAGACTTTTTTTGCTACAGTCTTCGACTTTGCGCCCGCTCCGTTTACCTTGCTTCCTTTGTTGGTGAGTTTCACGAATCGTCCTTGGGGATCAGTTTCTGCGATCTCTACATCACCTCTAGCGGTGCCGGTAACGCTGTAATCGCTGCTGCTGCGCTCCTCGCTTTCTTCCAACAAAGTGCGTTTTCGCTTACCACCTCTGAGAGGAGTGTGTCGGGACGGAGTCGTTCTACCAGTGGACATGGATGTGTTGGTCGACTGTATAGGCGTGATGTTTAATCTGGAATAATGGGTAAATGGGAGAGAGCGTATATTTTTAGCGGAGGATTAAATTGTTACGCAGTAGCTTGTAGAGCAAAGATTATCGCTCCTAGGTTAGGTCCGCGATTCCCTTACCTCGCCTCTTCAGACTCGAGCAACTTGCGGTACGCAGCAATTTCCAAGTCGAGCGCCACTTTAATGTCCATGAGATCCTGATATTCTTGCAACTGCTGAGCCATTTCCTCTCGCATACGTGCCACCTCTGACTCCAACATGGCCATCTGCTCCGTGTAACGAGCGCGTTCGTTTTCTCGCAAATTCTCCAGATCCCTGGGTGAAAGACGCACGTTGATACCCGCGCATTTGTCGGTGCAGGGGTTTAGGGCCGCTTACAGACGCCTTACACACGCTTTACAAATGAGAGAGAGAGCACTTCGCAAAGTATTTCCTTACCTGTTGCGCGCATTGAGGGCGTTGATGGTGGCTTCAAGCTCATTGATCTTTGTATTGAGACTTTCAATCTTGCTGCGAGTCTGCCTCAATTCTTCGACCGCCATAGTGGCGGCTCCGCTGTTACGTTGCGCCTGAGACGCCAAGTTTTTGATCTTGTTTTCGTACAGGAGCTCGATCTCGTCCCGATTAGCGCGCATCTGCCCCTCGTACTGATCGCGCAGTTCTTGCAGAGACTGCTGCAGCTTAGCTTCATACTGTTCAGCAAGACGACCATCGATCTCGGATATTTCGACCTGAAAAACGACGTGAAATGTCATTGCGTCAATCAACGTGTGTCCTCGTTTACACGTGTGACTCGTTTACCCGACGCCCCCTCCCCCCCCCTCCCGCGGTGTATCGTAAGACAAAACGCGCTCACTTGTCGTCTCGTACGAGTCTCCGAAAGCTCTTGCTGATAAACTTGATCTTTGAAACTGATGTCCTCCTTGAGGCTCTGAATATTATTTTCGAGATCAATTCGTTGCAGCGTTTCCTCCTCGAGGTGCTTGCGAGCGTCGTCCAATAATCCCTTCAGTCGATCTATTTCCTTTTCCGATTCTCGATCTTTTTCAATGAGCTTCTTGCGTTCCGCCTGCGACTGGTTGAACTGCGATTGCAAATCGTTACAGCGGGTTTCGTATATCATTGCATTTCGCTCTGCAATCAGCAACTCTTTCGTCTTCTTCTCCAATCTGTAAGAAACAAACAAACAAACAAACAGCGAGTGAGTGAATGGTGGAATTCCCCACAATTTTGCCTCTATACTATAATTATTTCTATCGCATATTATTTCTGTGCACTTTATGGTAGAATTTTCAAAGGATAAAGCCCTCCACGATTGCGTGTGTTCGCGCGGATCGATCGCTTTCAATCGCATGTACATTCCAGGGTAAAGTTGCCGTCGAATTTCAACGACAATCTCTCAGCGAGATATACCTCGGACGCAACATATTCGGATTCAAGCGAAATTCTCTCGCTAACCTTGGCCTACTATGCCTTGAAGCACCTGAGACCGGATGATTTTTCTTGCTCGAAAAACTCATAGATTCCTTGGTGGCGGTATCATCTTTAGATGTACCTTGCGCGTAATTGTAAATACGGAGAACCGAGAAACTAATAAATATAGCGAATCCGGTAAAAAAATATTGTTTGTGATCCTCAGAATATAGAAACACTGTGTGTCCTGTGTTTATACGACGAAACTGACGCCGAATATAGGAAATGAAATGAAAGGTTTGGTCACATGTTGTAGTCGGCGTCTTGACAAATTCGCCTTCATTTACATTTCGCCGCCGGTTGCGAGAAAGAAGCGGGCTCCTACTACCGGCCGTGCCGGGTAGGAGGCGCCGCGTGTTTCTATTTCGAGCGATGCACGACCCACATTGAGAATTTTATTTTCTACCATGGTGGCCCGCAGGCGTTGTCTCGATATTCGTGTGGCTCGATCGCCACACGGAGAAGAATGTGTGTGTCTACTCGAATGCCTGAAACGCCAACAGTTTAGTTCACTAAACGTCACTGTTTGAAAAGCAAGGGAATCGCGGCGACAAGTTTACGCGCTTCTCCTAGCAGGGGGTAATGAGAGAGAAAGAGATTCCCTCCCTCCCCCCCCTCTCTCTCTCTCTCTCGCAACCGGATCCTCTCGAAATCAAGGACTATGCTCGTCCTTTTACACGCGTCACACGCTCGCCGTACACGCTCGTCGGTCGATGGTGGGGCATGTGTACAGTTTGTAAAATGGCCGACATCGGGCGCATGATGTCATCTACGGTTTCGTACAACGCTTTTTCTGGCGGCCCCCGCCGCCGCCTACCGCTGGATTGTCATCATCGATCCACGCGACTAGAATTCCACGCCGCTCGAAAGCAGCCAGGTTTTCGAGGTCGCCACCGTTCTTTTCGTGACTTATCCGCGTCGGAGAACGAGATTAACGCAATCGCGCGCGCATCTCGCAAAAAAATGTATATTTCGTTCTCGTGTGATAACGTTATCCAGTCCTTACGATCAAAATTGTCAAAGATGTTTTCTTCTCAGCCACCTTTTCAAATACGCGCGCGCAACTTTTTAACGACGATTGCTTTGCAAATCGCAAGGTGTTTGTAATCCACATCCTTTGAGAAATTATCCTCTCTCTCTCTCTCTCTCTCTCTCTCTCTCTCATCAAAGTCACTCCGTGTCTCTTGGCTTGCTCGAGAATTGATAAATATTGCCCAACGCAAGTACCAAGGACGCCATGGATGTGAATAACGTCGCGTCCATCGATAATATGCCCAAGTTGTTGGAAGCTTGATTCGTCGACTTTAATTTCTCTCACACACGACGATTAGCAATGCGCGATGTAATAATGGACATATGCATCGTTGGTCGCAGAAGCGCAAAAAGGTTTCCACCACAAGCTTATCGTTAGGAAGACTCTCCTGTAACGGTAAAAGCCGCCAATGACCTCGGGACCCATGAGGAAAGACGAGTGTCTCCGTGGAAAGGAGGAAAAAAAAATAGTGTTATACCGTCACGACCAAAAATATCATGACATTTCGCGAGATGTAAAAATGAGCCTTGCAGCAGACAGTGACTATCCTCTGCCCCAGTGGTTCTCAGATCGGCGACTCGAGCCGTGTATACATGATACGCAGAAATCAATCAGGGCTCGGCTCGGTATCGGGGCCGACCGAATTCAGAATCCTTTCGCCGCAAAGTCAAGTGCAAGTGAGAGGCGCAGCCAAGAAACGAAAACTGTCCTGGGACCGTGCCTAGGTTAGGAGGGAAGAAAAATCGCAAAGAATACACTCTGTACACAATGGGCAGGTGGCTAGGCAGGTGTGTTGTGTGTGTGTGTGTGTGTGTGCGCACGGTGGGGTGGAAAGTTGCCGAGAGTTTCACTCTCGTGGGTCGAAATCGATCGTTTCGACAAATGACCAACGACGACGCAACTGACTCTCCGCTTCTCCTACACACCATGATCACGCGCGCGCGCGCGCGATGCTCGAGAAACAAAGTCAATGTTTTTAGGTCAGATGATACGCGTGCTGACATCATCACCGCATAGTAAGCATGATGCAACTACCGTAGTAACGTCATGCATGCACAGCTCTCCTCGATGCCATGCCGCGGCGGCGGGCCGGGCTCGGGTTGATGGCGCGCGCGCGCGCGTCCAACTCCCCCTCGCTTCATTTCGCCGCACTAAATGTCGAGACATCAACTTTGTGTGTCCCTCCCTTCGTATTTTTCGCGATTCCACATGCACAAACGTCAACGGAATGCTCCCAATAACGAGGTAAAAGATGACCCTTCTACACACACACAGGTATACAGGTAGAGTTATGTAGTTCCAAACAAGATCTCCAAGGAACCAATTTGCCACGGAAAGGACAAACTCGGTGTCGCGAGAACCGAGAGAGAGAGAGAGATCAGGGAATTGCCGCTACTATTGTACCTCGGTGAAATTTCCAAATTTCGACAATGATGCAAAATATTCCGATTTACAAGAGACCGTTATTACCACACCACGGAGCTCACATCTGACATATCGACACGACAGTCGATTTGATGAGCACACGTGTGCAAGTCAAAATGCGACGCGTATAATCATCTGATCCGGAAACATGCGCCATCAAGTACAAAAGATTTTGATCTGACAAGGACATCCGAAATGCTAGATGATATCTATACATTGTTACGCGGGAAATGATAACACGGAGGCCGCGGCGGTCGCCAAAACAAAAGTATCGATCCATTCAGAGAGAGATTGAGAATGTTTGGCGCGCTCGTGTAAACCATCGCTAAGGTGACCCAATTCTACGTTTCTTCCTCTCTTCCTCGTCACCCCTCCCCCCTCCCCCACCCGTCCTCCTGTAACGTTCATTTTTCATTTTGCAATTTGCATATACATGATAAAAGATATTCGGTCATTGCTCAGAAATGTGCTCTAGATTGATATCACACAAGAGCTCTTCCCGTGTGCTAATAATGGCGTCTTGTCGAGATCGAGATATTTCGTTTCAATTTTGTTGAAATTTGGAAATTTCAATTGCCGAGCGGCAACTTCGACCAAAGTTTGTAAAAGTAGACGTTAAATATACCTGAACATATCATCATTATTATTGACAAATATATCTTGCACATGTGCAAGCAATTTCAAACGAGAGAACACGTTTGTTGGAAATTGAGTGAAGGAACGTGAGAATGAATCATATAGTCCACAATACTATTCAATGACGAGCGGTATATAAATGCCATGGGAATAGGTGGACAAAAAAAGAGAAAGGACACCGACAGATCTCTAATATTAACATACTGATGAAACGAGTTTCGACTTTTAGTTTCCCCGCAGATATATTCAAGTGCACGGTAGGTGCAAAAAATTTGTTTAGTTGATGCACATTAGGTACAAGAGATGCGTCAATAAAAAATAAAGAAAAATACATTTGTCGTATGTGCGCGCGCGCGCGTAAATTATTTGTTGCAGCAATTTCGAGTTAAGCTCCTCCTTCCCCCCCCCACCCCCCCATCTATCTGGAAACGCGTACCTCGGGCTCTAAACTATTGAAATCCGAGCGACGCGACGTAAACATGCAACAATTATATAATACCCGTGTCGTTTATCCTAGCGATTCATCAGCGAGTTCGTTACTGAAATAAAAAATTAAAAGTGTCTACATTCTTTACATCGGTAAAGCCGCTCGCGACATTTCTCAAGCGTCATCATCAATGTCGGATGCAGAGATGTCTGTTAACGTTAATCCCAGTGATCGTTCAATTTGATTGAATCCGACGCGACGCGACAAAACGAAATGAAACGAAACGGGGCGCAGCACAGCTCGACGCACACACACACACAGAGAGACACACGCGCATGTGTGTGTGTGCTGCTGCTGCTGCTGCTGCTGCTGCTGCTGCTACTACTACTACTACTGCTACTAGCCTACTATACTGCTATACTACTCGACTCACTTGCTCTTGAGATCCTCGTTATCGTCCCACAGGCGTTTGGTATCGATCTCGAGTTTGGCGCGTTCCCTAGCCGTTTCGTCGAGCAGCTTTCTCGCGTCGGAGAGCTCGTGCTCGTACATCGACTTGATGTTGGACACCTCCCGAGTGACCGTCTCCTGGGTGGTCTGCACCTCCCGCGTGAGTCGGGAATTCTCCGTCTCCAAGTGACGCACCTTCTCGATGTAACACGCCAGACGATCGTTGAGATTCTGCAGATCCTGCTTCTCCTGTAGCCGAGAATAGCGAGTAGGACTGAGCGGGCTGCCTGGTCGCCGGCCGCCGATCGGCGTCGACGTGCTCGCTGGCGGCGATTGCATGCTGCTGGTGGACGACGAGGAAGCGGCCGCCGCGGCGGCGGCGGCGGCGGCAGCGGCGGCAGCGGCGGTGGCGGCCGCGGTCTTCTTGCTCGACTTCGTCGACATGTTTCTCGTTGACACGCGGTGTTTTCACTATATCGATCTTATCACGTGTTTGCGCGCACTGTTTTGTTGGGCGAGAACAAAGAGGAAGAGAGGCAGTAACCGGCGTGCCTTGCTCGTACTAACGAATCATCAACTCACTCGGTCGGTCCGTCCCTTCTTACGACCGACACTTGGCGGACATCCCACAGCTAAATGCGTACCACCAGAGGCGCACAGCCAACGGTCCAACCGTCCAACGAGCGAGCCGGGTTCCGCGCGTCGCCATAGGACGCCGAGCTACAGGGACGCTGCGCGATCGACCGTTGCGCATCTCGCGCCTGCCAAGTAAGCGCGACGCTGCGCTGCGCGATTGGTGGATTGACCCGGTCCGCCGCGCCGCGCCGCGCTCTGATCGCACGCGCCAAATTCGCCGTGCGCGCATCATTCTCTCTTTTTGCCTTTGCAATCTCGCTCCGTAGCTCGTCTGGCTGGGACGTCGACATCGGGTTGTAAACGCAAGTAAACAAGAGGCCGTTGTTATGTAAATAAATATCGCATCATGATGTATTTAACAACCAGTGGTAACAAAGGTAGGTGTGTGTGTGTGTGTGTGTGTGTGTGTGTGTGTGTGTGTGTGTGTGTGTGTGTGTGTGTGTGTATGTATGTATGTATGTGTTTGTCTCTCTCTTTTACATACAGCACAGAACAACATTCTTGTATGACACAAGCTGCGCAATCTGTATAACTTTTCATATACATATATACATACATACATACATACATATATATATATATATATATTTCTACACGTGTACGCATGGCTTTGAACTTTGAAGGAGCGTTCGTAACATAACAATGACATATCACTAGAAGAAAACAATTTGTTCTCTATCCCGCGTAACAAACATATAACTCGTAGGATATGATTTTTGCAATACTAGATATATAGTGTATGCGGGCATGCGCGCGCGTGTGTGTGCGTGCGTGTGTGTGTGTGTGTCTGTGTGTGTATACACATATGTACACATACTTCCTCCCCTCATAGTATACATATCTTTCGACTCTTCTTAAAGAATATTATTCTCTAGCGAAATGTTTTATTAAATATATAATTGTATGTTACAAGGTTTCTCGTTTCTTAAATATCTGTATATAATAACTGTTATATGTGTATGTGTGGTGTGTATGTATATATATATATATACACACACACATACACACACACACACACACACACATACATATACATATATGTATATCTCGTGTGTGAAATTTGACGATTTTCACGCATGTACATAGCTCATTATCTCATCGTTATATACCATATTCTTTTGGTCTTGCGGAGCAGTATCGCTTCGGTAGAAAGTTCTTTGGTAGAAGCATGCGTTTCTCTCCCTCTCCTCTTTCCATTCTTACTCTCACTCTCATTCTCTCTCTCTCTCTCTCTCTCTCTCTCTCTCTCTCTCTCTCTCTCTCTCTCTCTCTCTCTCACACGCGTAATATTATTTCATATGGATAACACAAGACGTTACTCAATTAACGCGCGCACGTCTGTTCCCTGAGTTGGTGTACAACCACTTTTCAGTCTTAGCCATTTATTATTTCATTTCTCACAGCGATTGCCATCGAGTATAATATATAGTCGTTTCTCTAAAAGTAAACAGCACTATTCAATCGTATGAAAAAGAAATTCGAAATTGTATTTATCTACCGATATAAGAAATAAAATGTATTTTTCTCCCTTGTGCCTTGTCGCAAAGAATTGTGCAGAGACCAGAATATCTCTTTCATCTTACTTTCGCATTTTTAATCTTTGAAAACTGAACGCGTGCAACAAAAAGATGCAATCTTGGCGAATCATTTGTCGATGCTTTCGCTGACAAAGCTGACATGCGATACATGAGCCAAATTTGACAAAATTTCGCAGAATCGGACACTTTTCTATTTTACTCGAGAATTATATCGATCATTATTACATAATCATAAATTAAAATTAATTATTACTAGTAACGTTCGGCATAATAAATTCTAATCTGCTCTCTCACAGCATTTTGTCACTTTGTTTCGTTCGTCACCTTTCCCCATATACCAAAAATGTATTTACACATTCCCTCTTTGAATACTACATCAATACAGATTGAGTTCAAAACCTTTATGAAAATTGTTGAATACTGAAGAGAAATTTTCTTTTCAATCCTACTCCTCACTCTCATAAATCACATTATTTTCTCTTTTTATAAAGATTCGTCTCTGTAGAAATTAATATATAATAACACTAAACGTACATAATTATACAAATAGAATTTTCGTAAACATCATATAAAGGCGTTATAATCGTTATTTGTAAAAAGGGCTTGATGTATCACATAATTGCTATGTGTATAAACGTGCGCGTTGTGTGTATGTGTCGCGTATGCATATACACACGCACACACACACACATACATACATACATACATACATACATACATACATACATACATACATACATACATACATACATACATACGCACGATATACACTATCAAGAAAAGAGCACTTTGTTTTCCGTGTATCACACTTGTTCTCCTTCTCTCTCGCGCGTTCTCTTTTTCTCTCTTCCTTTTTTCTTTATAGAGTTTGTATTTTCCTTCCTCTCCTTCTTTCTTTCTATCCTACTAGTGACAGTTAGGACCTGTTATTATTACAAGACTACTGCCTCAATTAAAAGTCAAAAAAAAAAAGGAAAAAAAAAAAGAAAAAAGAAGAAAAAACTGCTCAAGATGCAATTAATTGAAAGATGATACACACAGAGCGCTTTTTCGTAAACAGTGTTATCGAGTTGAGTTATTAAATCGAATTATTAAATCGAGTATCGCAGGTAACGGCACGTTGATACGATGTTTACGAAATGTAGGATTCATCGCGCACTTGCATTCATCATTATTACATTACATTGTCTTTGATGTATTTCACTCATAGCAAGATGAGTTTTTCGAGGCACATTTATCATATATATGTATATGTGTGTGTGTATGTGTGTGTGTGTGTGTATACAGGGTGGGAGGTTATAAGTTGACAACCCGAAATGTAAAGGTAGATTGAGTTAAGATAAACATAAAAGTCCCATACCGTTTTGCGAGATTCGCAATAATTATCGAGTTATTAATGACAGAAATCTGAGGAATGTTGATCCAGAAACTGTTGCCGGTGCGCGGCGAGGGGAAAGACAATACGCTGCTATTCGTTGTTTTATCTCGCCGGACCTACGTCTCGCCGCACGCCGCCAACAGTTGCTAGATCGAGTGGGCCGCGCTGTGGCTTGAGTAGCTGCAACGCTTCCCCAATCATCTATGTCGGCGCGCTCCCATTCCTTAGATTTTTGTCATTGATAACTCGATAATTATTGCGAATCTTGCAAAACGGTATGGGACTTTTATGTTTATCTTAACCCTTCACATTTCGGGTTGGCAACTTATAATCAACCACCCTGTGTGTATGTGTGTTGTGTGCGCGCGCGTGTGTATACACACATACACACACATACACACACACACACATACACACACACACATACATATATAAAATCTACGCGTTTGTCGATCGCAGCACGCGTCGGAAGAAAATTCTCACGGAGAAACGCGTAATAATTCTTCTAACCATCTTCTAACCGTTAATCACAGGCAACCCCAGTTTATAACATAACAAAACAATTTGGGTTTCTCGTGACCCATCTACTCGCGACAGCGTACGGTAAGAAAAATAAAATTTTACACATATATATTTTATGCATAAATTCTCGCAGAAACATTTCATCATCAAGACCCTGCCTGTAGTTTGATACATGCGGCATTTTATGCATCTTCTACTGTGTTATCTGATTTCTAAATTAGTAGCAAGAATGCATTCTTCCAACATGTATATATTTTTAGAATTGTGTGCACTCGTTATGCATACAATTGCACTAAAAACACTCGGAGACAGACACACACGCACACAAACGCTCACTCGCTCGCTCGCTCGCTCACCCATTCTCTCTCTCTCTCTCTCTCTCTCTCTCTCTCTCTCTCTCTCCTCCCCTCCCACCCTCTCTCTCTCGATAGGAATGATGCAATGTTCGCGTCTCGTACGAGCGAAACGCCAAAGGCAACAGTTTTACACATCATGTAAAATGCGTAGGAAATAAAATGAGTTAGTTATCGAATCCGCGTAAGAAAAAACTCTAATCTTTATTATCCGCGCTGATGCGTTTGGATCGCTTGCTGCTCTTTTGTTTCCTATGGATATTCGTTTCCCCATCACCTTGCGTGGACTCGTTCGACTCGGCGAAACTGTCGGAACCGCTCAACACTGCCAGTTCTAGCTTACGTTTTCTCGATCGCGTCAACGGCCCATTGATGTCGTCGCTATTATCGCAATACTCGCTATCGACGTCGCGTCTGTGTCGTTGCAGTCTCGTCGGAACTTTCCGCTGACACAGGTCTGCGACATTGCGTCTGCGTCGTTTCTTACTGGCGATATCTTGCAGCGAGATTCTGGGAGAATTTGAATCGGAGGAAGAAGACAGAGAGCTGAGATACTCGTTCACATGATCCTCGTTAAAGTCGAAGACGCTCGGTTGAGCCGGTGAGGCGGAAGTAGTCGCGTTACTCGTCGAAGCGCTTGGCGGCCTTAGCAGCCGAGCTGATGGCGGGCTCGAGGAAGCTGTGGACGCCGACGAGGATACCGAGCTGGAAGTGGAACGTTTCTGCAACTTACGGCGCTGCGCGAGCTTGGCACCATCTACTTCGCGCAAACGGAAGCCCTCGCAAACAGCGGCGCGCTCGCATGTCGACGAGCTGACGGTAGTGACGGACGTAGTAGACGTAGTAGTGGCAGTGACGACGGTCGTGATGTTGTTGGTGATGGTGTTGACGGTGTTGGTGGTGGTGTTGGTAATAATGGTGGCGAGGGCGAGGGCGGCAGCGGTAGTGTTGGTGGTGGTATTAACAGCGGTAAAGTTGGACGAAAGAAGGCTGCCCGTCGAAGAATGACCAGGCCCCGCTAGCCACGGGTGATTCGCGAGCGCGCTCGCGTTAAGCCTCTTGTTGGGATCCAATGTCAACAGACCTTTCATCACTTCTTTCGCCGGGCCAGACAGGTGGCTCCAAGTGCTGCCGTCAAAGTCGATCTCGCCCGTTTGGATGCACGTCGCCAGATCGGGTGAGTCGGTACCGAACGATTGGTTACCCGACAGCATAAAGTAGAGAATAGCGCCCAAGCTCCACAGGTCGCAGCTCTCGTCGTAGCCCTGGCCGGTCATCACCTCCGGCGCAGCATACGGAAGCGTGAAGCAAGGTGTGTGCAGCGGTTCGCAGTTGCGCTTTATCCGTGCGAAGCCAAAGTCCACTATCTTGACCGGTGAGTCTTCGCCCTTATGCGCGAACACAATGTTCTCCGGCTTAAGGTCCCGATGCACCACGCATCGCGCGTGCATATATTGCACCGCGGACACCAACTGCCGCATCACTCGGCGCGCCTGCTCCTCGGTGAAGCGTCGCCGTTGTCGCAACAGTTCCCCACCGGACAACAGCTCCATCACGAGATAAGTGTGCCCTCCATCTTGGTGGACATCCATCAGCTTCACTATGTTCGGGTGACCCTGACAAGCGCGCAACAGATTCGGCTCTCGGATGCACTTTATCCTAGAGGTGATGATCTTTACGGCGAATTCCTGCTGGGTCTTGCGGTGACGACACCGTAGACAAACCGAAAAACTGCCGTCGCCCAGAGGTTTATCATTCGACCTTATCTCATACTGCTGGGAGAAGGGTGAAGACTCTTCCGCACGCGGTGCGGCGATCGCCAAGAGTCGCGACGACTCGCCGCGACTGGTCGTCGTCTCGATCCCTTGTATCGTGCTTGCTTCTTTGAACATGTGGCTGTCGCCGAATCTTGCCGAAGGCGCCACGTACGAGTAACCCTGCGAATCGTGAGATCGCGCGACATTAGATTGCTGATTTAGGAGCTTAATTAAGGCGAACGAATAACCGGCCGATAATTATTGCATATGCGTGCATATGCGATTGATTGATGATTTATTGATTGATTGATTGATTGATTGATTGATTGATTAATTAATTAATTAATTAATTACCCTGAAGATCTTGTCGTGGTTAGGCGGCACGATCGCCGGGCTATAGGCGACGGCCATCTTCGTGAACTCGTCCGAGAAGTTACTAGTGTCCAATTCGTCCCGGATGCGCGGAACGAAGGGTGGCTTGATCTGTTTCTTCTCCAACGCTTCCCAGCTGAAAGGTGGCGGCGCGTTCTTGAAGAAGGGGTGCTCCTTGAGCTCGTTGGCATCGCCCGGTCCACCGCCCAGTCTTCGTCGTGGATCCTTGATGAGCAGACGGCTGATAAAGTCACGTACTGTCAGGCTCAAGTAGCCCGGCATCGGCGGCACCGACTTCAGTATCCTTTTCGAGATCTCCTGCTGCGAGTTGCTCTCGCCTTCCACCGTAAAAGGCGACGAACCGGTCAGCAGCTCGTACGTTAGCACCCCTACGCTCCACCAGTCGACAGCCTGTGGCGAGACTCACGCACAGATTAGATATACATTTTTCGTCTACGGAGAGGAGAAAAGAATGGGGAAAAAAAAGAAAAAAAAAAAAACCAACTCGTACGCTCAGAGAGCGGCGGCTGCCGCTAAGCGATGTGTCATTTTACTTACGATATCGTGGCCGGTCATGCCTCCTCGTACTACTTCCGGTGCCATATATTCGATAGTTCCGCAAAATGAGTAGGCTCGCGCGTTGCCGTTCCTTTCATGCGGGAGGAACTCCTTGCTGAGTCCAAAGTCCGTCAGTACAATGTGCCCTTCTCGATCTAGCAATATGTTCTCCAGCTTGATGTCTCGATAGATTATGCCGAGCTGCAATAGACAAGCAACATTTCTACATTTGTACGTTCGCTCTGAAGGAAGCTCTTGGGAGCGATTTTTCTTTCTTTTTTTCTTTCTTTTTTCTTTTTTCTCTTTTTTTCTTTTTTTTCTTTTTTTTTTCTTTTTCACGCGCCATACGTAAAGCGAATCTCTCACACTGCGGCATGCGGCAGGCGCCTCATAATACATCTCTCGATATTTTCGCGGAATTTTCTTATTTTTCACGACTCGCGAATGAGTCGTCGTAGTCGTCTCTCGCACGTACCTTGTGAAGGTGTTCCAGCGCTAAAATCACCTCGCCGATATAAATGCGTACTTCATTCTCCGGAAACTGCTCACGCATATACAAATGTGTAAACAATTCACCGCCGTTCACGTAATCTGAAAATAGATGTTATTTTGTATGTCCAAAAAGCTGTCTTTCGTTCTCATTTTGATTGCCATTGACGATGAGTCATGCGATATATGTCGAAATAACCACGTTGCACTGAATCAGAACGCGCGAATAAAAGACACAAACGATACTTGTGGTATTTTCGTGCTTATTTTTTCTCCTTATTATTTCTCTCCTCCCGCTTTTTTCAGTTGCTTCTTTCGCTTCACTGCGGAAACAATATTTCTCATACTTGTAATTCACATATCGTGCATATCTTTCTCTTTGTAATCGACGTTCCGTTTCTTTCTATCGCTCTCTACAACTGTTCGGTGAAAAAAAAATTACCTAAAATTAGATGAAGTTTCGCGTCAGTCTGAAACGCGTAGTGCAAAGTCACCAGGAAAGGACTGTCCCTGACGGCCTCCAGAACTTGTCTCTCCGTCTTTGTATGCTCGGTCGTTTTCTTCTTCTGCACGATGGCAGCCTTTTTCAAGACTTTCATGGCGTACAGCATGCCAGCGTCGGTACCCGTCCTCTTTCGCACCAGGAAGACCTTGCCATAAGCTGTCGTAAGCAAAAACGAAGCGATCGATAAAAGCGTGATGTAAACGTCACGACTTGAATAACGAAATTTTCTCTCTCTCTCTCTCTCTCTCTCTCTCTCTCTCTCTCTCTCTCTCTCTATCTCTATACATACATATATATATATATAAAGACTGTTACCTCCAGTGCCGAGAATTTTGAGCAGATCAAAGTGCGTCATGTCTACTTTCTGATTTCTGCTGTCGGCCAGATTCACTGCAACAGAGAAATGAAGAATCACGCGTAAGTCCCTCGCAACGCGCGTCGTATCGTAATGTAGCGCGATTCGGGCAAAAACGACCATTCTGGAGCGTTTTATATTAAACTGCGCTGACAAGTCGAATAAAATTTCAATTTCAGTTTTCGACAGTTGCCGTATTGTACGCACGAACTTACCAAACTTTTCTAGGGACAATGAGAAATTGCTCGCGTTCGACCAAACTACGATGCTACGTATGATGCCACACGAGCTGAAAAAACGACACATGGCAAGAGGAAGAGGAGGGGGAGGAAGCAGAAGAGGAAGAGGAGGAGGAGGAGGAGGAGGAGGAGGAGGAGGAGGAGGAGGAGGAGGAGGAGGAGGAGGAGGAGGAGGAAGGAGGAGTAGAAGAAGGAGAAGAAGAAGAAGAAGAAGAAGAAGAAGAAGAAGAAGAAAAACATGTCGAATGTCGCGTATAGAGCGGAGCGTGGAATGGAATGCTGCTTATTCAACGTGTCACGCGCAAAGATACAAGCACCTGCGATGCGACTAATATCGGCAGGTGCACCGTCATGAATGCACACGCGAGCAATTTGCTGTCATTGCTACGCTGCACTCTAGTAGCGTGCACGCTGTGCTAGAGTGCTATCTACGTAGGCTGCGTCGCTACTAATTAGATACTACAGATACGCGCAATAGGCGTCTAACAATTACGTAATAAAAATAAGCCTATAATATAAACAACGGTTACGCGCAATAGATGGCAATTTTTTTCTCGGGCTCGCGTTTACACGCACACGCACATACACACAGAATATTTCCGGGTGATGTAAACGATATTCACTTGTGTCAAATATCGGTCGAAAGATCAATCGATCGGTAAATCTCAACATCTCTTTGCTCTATGACACAGTTGTTTGTTACATATATCACCAGCGAAGAGAGAGAGAGAGAGAGAGAGAGGGGGGAGGGGAGGGAGCGCTATTTTCCCGCGTGCGTTTCGTCGAATCATTCGACGACGACGTAAAAAGTTGGGACCTCGAAAGATTACGAAGGTGGCGCAAGTAGGTCGTGATTCTGCACAGCAATTATTCCGTTAAACGGCATTGCCACTTTCACTTTTGCTCACTTTTTCACCTCTACCGTTCGCGCACAATTTTAACGCGCGTTCCGTAAGCAGAGAGAATTCAGCCGCGATAGGAGGAGAATCGCGCGGGATCCTTGCGCGCAAAATTAGCGCGAGGAAATCATCGAGGAGAGCAGAGATCTCGCGCGAAGATTTCACCGAGTCTGCGAGAGATCGAGTCCCGTGGCCGCAGAATTCCCACGTGATCCCTTGACGACGATTCACGAATTCACGTTATTAACGCAGCGCGGACATTAACAAGCGCAACATTTTCTTCTTTATAAATGGCGCGCTAGAGATCGATGGAAGAGCAGATTCGACTCTCGAGTATCGTGTAGCAGCGTAGTACATGCCGGATCCTTCAAATCAGACAGCGGATTCTCGCGCGGAGAGCGCGCGCGGATAATTTCTCACGAGGATAAGTTGCGCGCGCGATTGCGTAAGCACGGGACCGCGTGCGCGCGCGCACACCAATCGACGAGCCAAGGGAATCGAGAATTTAAGTTCGAAATTAAGCGGCGAAAGCGCGCGCGCGCGCGGTCGAGATCAGGGTTCGTCTCAAGTGTCCCCGGCCCTGACTGCCAGCCAGGGAATGCGTGTCAAGGTAGTAAAGGAGACCAGCACCGCCGGTGCTGTGTACCTACGCTCGATCATCGCGAGCTCATGGACACGGGTGACCCACTTGCCGTGGCCGTGTCCGTTTCGTTCCGTTCGGTTCGGTTCCGAGATGGCTTTTTCGTGGATTACAAACGTGAATTTCGCCGGCCGATCGCTTCGATCCGCGCTCGTCGTCGCCTCGATTCGACGCGGCCTCCTTCGTCGACTCCGAAGTGCGCGCGCGCGCGCGAGCGAGTTGCTGCACGCCGTTACTTCTCAGCGGCATTCCTTCCTCCCTCCCTTTTACCATCATGGACTCTTGTCGTTCGCGAATAATGAGCTGCCTCTTTTGTTTTTTCGGGGCTTGATCGCACCGCGAGAGAAAAACAATCGGGAGAGAAGGATGTACCGTAATTTTAGCGATAGAGGTCGCAAACGCGTGCGCGCGCGCGCGCGAGAGAGAGAGAGAGAGAGAGAGAGAGAAGCGTCTTCCTCGATCGCTTCAAAACGATCATTCTTTGCCAAAGGATGTATTTTTCATTCGGCGATTGATATCGAGGAAAGTAAAACACGGACGTAATTCGACACGACTTCTCGTCAGAGAGAGAGAGAGAGAGAGAGAGAGAGAGAGAGAAAGGGGGGGTTGCCGGAGTGTCCCCACGATCCAGATCTCAAAATGCTATTTCGGACGTTATTCCGGATCATTATAAATTCCGGTTGGCATTCCTCAGCCGCTGCTAAACGAGGCGAAATTTCGTCACACCATCGACCGAGACTCCCGTGGTTGTACCAGCGATATTTTTGCGTCGCGTCCATCGTTTCGTTTATCGCAGGCGCAAACGCGCAAACACGCACGTCGCGGAAGTTCCGCTTTTGTTCGACCCAGATAGCCGGCATTCACTCGCTATTTCGTAACGGGACCGACTACTTTCTTTCGCCGGTGCCGCCGGTCGTGGACGCGGCGGCGGCGCAGCGGACCGCGCGATTACACGTGCATGCATGCGCATACACACGTGTAATCGCGCGAGTGGCCGGTGCGAGGAGCCGATTTCGTCTCTCTCAAATCCGACACCGCGATTTCACCGCGTTTGCTCCCGTCCCGATTACTACAAATCGCTACAAATGCCCATTTTCGCGGAAAAGGAAATCAGCTTCGGTACAACAGATCCCCATCATTTTTCCCAGCGTATCATCATATATATTATATAAACAAAGTTTTTTTTAATTTTATGCACACGATATCCTACCCTCCGTAGGTCAAGTAGGAAGGGTCAGAGTGCAGAGAGATAAAAAATTAATGTAAAATGGACGATAGTGAATTAGCAACCTGTACTTTTTTTCTAAAGCCTTTTCATGTATATACACAATGTAAATACGTGTCGATGATGAGAGAAAATACCGACTTGCAGACTTTCCCAAAAGTTTTCGCATCTCGCGCGATATTTTTCACTCGACACGTTCGTCGACTCGGCGGCGGCGATCCTCCGACGCAGCAGCTATTCGTTCGTCGGAGCGTTTTCGATCGACATCATATCAAGATATCGAGATGAAGACTGCAACGACTCTCTCTTTTCTCTCTCTCTCTCTCTCTCTCTCTCTGCTCCGCGGTCGACGCGACATTGCGACGAGAAAGGGTTTCGGGGGTGCTGCCCTTCGCGAGACGACATTGAAAAGGGGGAGGGGAGGGGGAGGGGCGCGAGGCGTTACCGTTACTCAGTACCGTGCCGCTTCGCGGCCGCGCACGTGCTGCGACACACTCGTGCGCGGCGCGATGAGACAGAAAGTTGCGATGATAGCGTGAAGCATGAAGACAGAGCCTCTAGCACAACACACTGTCTGTGCATCATCTCTCATCGGTGGCCACCACATGGTCGACACTATACGGACCGAGGAATCGAACGTACCACACGCGAAAAGTGTCAGCATATACCCCCTCCCTTCTCCTGTACAACTGATCTATCTCGCTGCATCATGTACACGGGGCACAAGAAGCACAAGAGGGGGAAAAAAGTCTTCTCTCTTACGAACATCGATATCGTCTGTCGTCTGTCGTCTGTCGTCGCGCGACAATACGCTCGTCAGACACGCGAGGAACACGCGAGAAGACGTGAACGTTGACGCGACGAGAGTAACAGAGATAGCGCACTTGATATAACCTGCTCGAGACTTTGACCGCTTTGATCGCCTACTACTAGAGAGACGCTTGCCGCTGCTACCGCGGGGCAGCGTCTCTCAGCAGAGATGCGCACGTGCGCACACGTGTCGCGAGGCGAAGCTCTGCTGCTCTAGATGATATTCATTTGGTATTTATCGGACGCACGTTGCGCGCCCCGCGTGCTTGCTATCGATTGGTCGCGATTTTATATTTAGACCAAATCGCGCGTCGCGGACCGGCTTGTTTACCTCGCCGGTGTGTACGTCTTTCTTCGTCGACGTCGACAGAACGTGGTGAGAAAGAATTTGCTCTCTGTCTTTGCTCCGTTTCGTGACCGTTTCGTGACGACAACGAAGGAATCCAAACCCGCACGCGCGAACGCGTGCACTTATCCCTCAGAGAGAGAAAGATGTATATCCGCGCGCTAAAGTTGCCGTCACGAATTGCTCCTTCGCGTAGTCCATTCCCCGTACACACACTTTTATCCGAATGACGTCTTTTGATTGAAAAGACTTTTCTTACACTGAAATTTTCGCGAGATGCATACATCTCGCGACGGCTGAATGAATCTTAAACTCACTTTACGTGACATAATTATTCCACAACTATCCGCATCGATTCTGCAGGATGACATAACGAGTGTTCCGTGTATTACGTATATGTCACTTGCGTCGTCTCTCCCTGCCTCTCTTGCATCATCATTGTTGTATTATCGGCGAGTCTCACGAGAGGCATCCAAGGCATCGACACTGCCGCCGCCATCGCTGGCTGGACCGGCGTCGTTGTCGTCGTCGTCGTCGTCATTGTCGCGATACAAATAATTGATAACAAGAATAATTTGCTCTTTGATCCTTTAATATCTTTAATCTCTGGCTAGAATCTTACGGATTATACCGGAAGGCTGTTTGCAACCTTTTTCTCTCCATTCTTTCTCATTCTTTTACGTTGCTTTGTTAAAGTTTACGCTTTGTCGAACGAAACGTTTCTGAAATTCTGAGTGACGTTGCACATTTCTTTCTTTTCGCACGTTTAATACGCCTAATCGAGTGTAAACTTTCCTCGCCCAGATTTTTGAATTTTATGAGGCATCGGTACGATGAGCATGTACGGCATGAGCGGAAAGTTTGTCCCCCCCCCTCTCTCTCTCTCCTCTTCTCTCTTCTTCTCCTCTCTCTCTGCTTCTTGTTTAGACAAGTTTCAGACAGTTTTAGACAATTTCGGTAATTACAGAAGATAATGATGAAAAAATTCTGAAATTATCCGAGTTGCATCGCAAAACATAATACTTTCTTTCATCGCAGCTACTCTTTTGCGTCAAATTTTTCCCGGGAAAGATTAATCGTTACCGTCCAATTGCTCCAATTGCGCCAATCGGCAAACTGTGAATGATGACACGCATTCCATACATCATCTTTATATTCTAAATACAAAAGAGCTTCGCG